GGAGATAAATGTTTTTTTTTTTTCATCCTACTTTTGATTAATTTATTTTTGTTATATTATTTTTTTATTTACCCTTTACTCCCCTTTCCTTCTTACGCTGCACATAACAGTTGTGAGTGGATCCGTTTTTGGTGCCCCTCTCTTGTCTGTAAAAGCACGTAGGGAGGAAACACCATGCGATTTGTTTAGCAGTTGCTATGTGTAGCGTTAAGAAGGAAAAGGGGGGTGGGAAAAATAAATAAAATGATCTAACAAGAATAAATTAATCAACAGTAGGATGAAAAAAAAAAACCACACGCGGAGAACAAAAGCATAGTGGGAAGTCCAGTACGGTGCATGTGTGTGTGTATGTGCGTGCGTGTGAACGTACAACCATGCTACCACCCCCGAACGACTCCTCCCTGTCTGTGCTTTGTTCGAAGCAAGAAGGGGAAAAAACCTCCGTCGAAGCCAATTTCGTACAGTTCCTTTTTCCCCTTAATTATGGCTGGAATCTATCTGCATCCTTCCTCTCCCCTCCGACCAATATGTATATCCATGTTGTAAATAGCTATTCATATTTGCGGGGGGGAACAGGAAGGATGTCCCATTTCATGGTGCAGTTAACTCTGCGTGAATACAATGACAGGTTGTTTCATTACAGACATGAATAAGATAGAAAATGACCAAGGACATGATGCAGTTCTTCTACCCGTAGAATTGTAATCAAAATTCGTTTTGCCTTTCACAAAAAAAAAAAAAGAGCATTCACAAAAAGAAGCAAACTTATTTGTTAAACAGCTAGCAAGTTGAGGAACATGGCAGGGTCAGTCCTTATGTGTACACATAATATGTACACATATAGGAAATGGGGAGAAATATCTTTATGCATGAAGCGACGATTAATTATTTCTGTTCACCCCAACGGGAGCAAGTTATTGAAATTTTAATTCGCCTCGCTCTTCATAGGGATATTTCTGCATTCGGGATTTTGTTACAAATGTAAAAATGGCCCATGTAGGGTTTTTCCCTCGCAGGTCTCATTTTACATTACGAAAAAAAAGAAAAGGAAAAAAAACAAAAAAAAAAAAAAGGAACACGGGGGTTTTCCCCTTTTGTGTGTGGGTGTGGTTTTTTTTTTTTTTTTTTTTTTTTTTTTTTTTAACTTAACCATATGGCAATTTTTACGACCACTGAATAGTTGTACTTAATGAAAAAAAAAAAATTCCCAACTGCTCATCTTCCTCCTTTCTTTGTGGTCATACCTGTACGATAATGTTTCAAGAAGAAACGGGCAACAGTTATGCTCTGGAGCACGACAATGACATATGCAGGGAAAAAGGGAACTCTCTTCTCTTCCGCCAAATTCTTTTTTGTTCACATATAGAATTCGCACCACCCAACGGAGGGTTGCACTTGTGTTCTTTGAATTTTTGTTCCTCTCTCCCCCCCACCCTTCGCCCCTCCTGTAGTGTGTGTTTAACCGTGGTGAGAGTACCTTTGAACAGTGTGCATATGCTCACGCACGTGTACTTCAAGCGGTTGCGGGGCTTTCCAATAGGGACATACTCAACCGTTTGTTTATGCGTGTTGCGTATTCGTGGAATAAACATAAAGCGAAAAAAAAGGTCAAACAAAACGGTCAGAGGAACTGCCAACAGAATGACCAATGTGGTCACCAAAAAAAAAAAAAAAAAAAAAAAAAAAGGATACACGCGGTGTTACACTTTGTGTGTGTGTGTGTGTCGTTTTTTTTGTGTTTTTTTTTTCTTTTCTTTTTTTCTCCACGTGCAACGCATTTCGGATGTGGCTGTCCATCTCATTTGTCGATTCAAGTGGTTGGAGATACCCGTCTTGTTATGCTTACCCCCGTCGAGGGTCTGCAATGTCGGCAGCGTCACAAGTTCCACATGTGAACACCTGGACATTGTAAAGTGGATTTTTTTTTTTTTTTT